TTATTATTATTATTATTATTATTATTATTATCCATCTTATCAGTCTTCTTCTTCTTCTCGTCAGTCTTTTTCAGTCTTGTTCTTCTTCAGAACACATGCATGAAGCAGACATCAGAGCAGCAGGCAACAAACATGCAGAGCCCCCAACCCAGTACATGTCAGATGACATACATTCAGCATACAGCAGGCAACATACATGCAGAGCGTCCAACCCCCAGACACCCCCCCAACCCCAGCACCCCCCAACCAGATCAACCCCCCACCCARAAACAAAAATTTTATTGCAGATTCGGGGTCCCTTTGTTGAGCACAGAACGACCCMAGTTTAAAAAAATAAATAAATACAAATTATGGGCGGTTTTTGGCACTCCCGGTTTACCCGGGCGGCATCCTCACTCAGTTTAATTGGGGTTTCATTGGGGCAACACCTCCTCTTTTACTATGCTTTGCATGCACGAGTGTGTGTGTGTGTGTGTGTGTATTATCACATTCGCTAGACACTCAAAGAAGCATAATCGTGCCAGACTGTTTCGTCGGACTTCCACTGACCCATCAGGAGGTTGAACTCCGACTGYTTGCCCAGGATGTATTTGACTGATGGATAAGGACTCACCACATCGCACAGAGTTAGGGATACCCCTGAGAAAAGCGGTCGACTTTACTTACATCAACCTTGCAATCCTAGCAGATTGTGTGTGTAACAAGGTATTCGTGAAAACTGGACTTGAAAAATAGTCCAGTTTGCAAATATGCAATTATTTTTTCTGAAAAAATAATTTTCCATTGGCCAATATAGTTGAAATAATCGGCTGGTTTTTTCTTCTTAAAATAATAATTATTTTAAAATTCGAAAAGGCCATGCAGTAGAGGCTTCCAAGAAAAAGTATTTTTCGCCAAGTCCACTTTGTTTTCAGCTTTGCACTTGACATTTCTGCTCGTCTCACTGTATGTACCCGATCTCTTAAATCAAACACTAGGATATTCTGACACAACAGGTATAGCTCCCAACAATGGACAGGAGCGGCTAGAGGAGGAGCTACTAGAGAGAGGTGCTTATATTACTATGCCTAGTGTTGAACCTCCCTCATTTTGTCCTAGAGCTATCCGCAGATGGATGGATGGACAGTGTTACATGCACAGATATGTGATGTTTGTAATARCCGAGGAACTGCAATGTGACGAAAAGGACTGAAATGGAYAATGCGGTGAGAGTAGAATCTCGACAGACAATGTGCATTCTCATACATACAAAAGTGCTGAATAGCGCAGGGAAGACTCAGATACAAAGACTGACCTGACAAGGACTGACCTTACACACGTAGTAGCAAGTAGCGAAACAGACTGCTAGAATGTTGATAGCTAGTCCAACCG